CCAAACACTTGATTCTCGTAAACTAACTGCTTTCTTGGGCCGATGAGGATAGCAGCGATTGATGACATCTCGTAGTCCTGCTAATATATAGGATAAAATATTTCGCCACTGCGACAAAGACCAACATGCAGGGGCAACCATTCAAGTCTTGCAAACCGATGACTTCATGCTTCAAAATCTAAGGGCGATGATGGTCTTTTTCCATCGGTAGATATTCATAATGTATCATAAGGATGTCGTTGTTGTTGTAAACCGCCATGACGATTGTGGTGTCCCACCGGCGTGCCAAAAAGTGTGTTGACACAAATGTGACGCACTATGCCGCACACACAACAAGTCGGCGTAGCTTCAATCGGGTGCCCGGTGCTTCGTGATCCGAACGTGCCGGTCGGTTTGACTCGAAAAAAACGACAAGGGATAAAATGATTAAATGTCAAACCGGAACATGTCGGGTGAGACCAGATAGCTTCAGTATATACGACCCTCGAAGCCACTTACAACGACATACAGCTATAGGAAGTCATGCGCCAACAAGTTTATAAATCATTCGCTAATCGTAGGATGGACATACGTAAAGATCTCGATTGCGAATGCATATGCATGGGAAGACATGTTTGAACAAGTGAAATTGATTATGCGTTAATGCATATCCAAGCTCAACAATCCAAATTGAGTTGGGGTCCATGAAGAAGGAACGTGTAGATAAACACGATTAAGCCAATCTAAAACTCAAGGCTCGCCCAAGACGACACCTAGTTTCGTCAAAAACTTAAACGTGATTAACATACATGAACCCACAACATGTGACAATCTAGATTAAAATAATTCAGCCATTACGAGCATGTTATCTATTTGCAAAGGTATTATGAAAGTAATGATCATTGAAGCTCGAATAAAACCATAGAAGAGGGCGAACAATATCAATCTAGATTGGGCAAAAGTGTGTTACAAATATATAAAATATTTAAAACATGCAACACAGGATAACTTGATGAATCTATTTAGATTTTGCCGTAATCTAATAGAGCCGATAACTGCCTCTTGCTTCCACTAAGCATATTGAGCAAACGCCTCACGCCGCTTACGGTATCTACTCATAAACAAAGTATAAGCAAAGACTTCTTGATTGTCAAGCAAAGATCCGCCCGCACGATCATTGAAAACAAACAAGACTACTTGCATCACGCCTAAATCCACCGCATGATACTAAACATGATAACAAGGTTGTCGGAACTTACGGAGGTCGACGGATCGATGACTCCTCTCGAAGAACTCGGCGACACGACAAAAGGACTCGAAAGTTGGCACGGGGCGGTTGTATTGATTTGGTTGTGAACGCCTATTACAATGGTCGAGGGTCAATATTTATACCCTAGACGAAACACGAGTCCTAAAAGACTACGATTTACAAAGGAACTCTTAAACAAACTTGGAAACTACGATTCCTTGCCCCAAACTCTCGTAGTCCTTTATTATTACAACTTTCATCTTTTCGATCGGCTTTGCTTGCCATCTTCGCTTTCCCGAATGGAGTCACCACCTTCTCAAGTAACCGACCGCACAAGCATTTAGCCGACCGCTTTGTTTTGTTTGCGAATGTCCTTCTTCCCACATGCGGGCCCACCTTGACTAGCCGATCTTGGAAATCTTCCCCACAAAGGCTCGGTAACATGTACGTATATATTTGCTTGGGCGCATCTTTATTGGCTTGCATCTTCACTAATCACTACGCTTTCAACAACTGGGATCGTATTATTTCCTTCATGCATGGACTCTTTCTTTAATCAAGAAGCTTCACATCTCCATCCAAAGATATATTTGATTTATTTCCTTATGCAGCCCGCCCAAACAAATATTAAATATCCCTTCCTCGTTAATCGATCTTAATCTTGCTTGGCATCCATGTCAAGCATAGCTCGTATAGCACTTGGCCTCTCATCCTTTTCCATTTACCTTGCCGGTTGCCCAATAATGCATCACGTATATGTAACAAACAAGATGGTAGGCACATCAGAACTGCCAGCTGTTTGACCTTTTGCTGCTCCCCATTAATTACCAAATTTTGGTGTCAACAAATGCAATGCAAGGGACAACACGAGCTCATTTTTTATTGAAGTTACTAAGGTCAAGCACATTGAGCTCTCCTCAACCGACAAAACGTAGCCTCATCCAGCAGTTTAGTGAATATATCCGCCAATTGATCCTTGGTCCTTACACCTTCTAGTGATATATCATTTTTAGCAACATGATCTCTAAGAAAATGATGGCGGATATCTATGTGCTTGGTGCGAGAGTGTTGAGCCGAGTTATTAGCAAGCTTTACCACGCTCTCATTGTCACACAAGAGAGGTACCTTTTCTAGAATTACACCATAGTCTAGAAGAGTTTACTTCATGTAAAGAATTTGTGCACAACAAGCACCCACGACAATGTACTCTGCCTCGGCGGTGGACAATGCCACACTATTTTGCTTCTTGGAGGTCCAAGACACTAGTGATCTACCAAGCAAATATCACCCTCTAGATATGCTTTTTCTATCAATTTTGCAACCAGCATAATCCGAATCGAAATAGCCAACTAGTTGGAATCTAGCTCCTTTGGGATACTAAAGACCAATGCTTGGTGTGTGCTTAAGGTATCTAAGGATTCTTTTAACGGCAACCATGTGAGCCTTCTTAGGATTAGCTTGAAATCTAGCACACATACACACACTAAACATGATGTCAGGCCTAGATATGGTCAAATATAATAAACTACCAATCATAGAATGGTAGAGAGTTTGATCAACCGATTTATCTCCCTCATCTAGGTCGAGATGTCCATTAGATGGCATTGGTGTCTTGATTGGCTTACATTCATCTATTTTAAACCTCTTGAGAAGGTCCTTGGTATATTTTTCTTGAGAGATGAAAATCCCCTCTCTCATTTGCTTGACTTGAAAACCAAGAAAGAATGTAAGCTCTCCAATCATAGACATCTCGAACTCCTTTGATATCAATTCACCAAACTCTTTGCAATAGTCTTCATTTGATGAGCCAAATATGATATCATCAACATATACTTGACAAATGAAGATATCTCCATCAAGCTTCATGATGAATAGTGTGGTATCGACCTTCCCAATGGTGAAGCCCTTCTCAATGAGAAAATCCCAAAGACGCTCATTCCAAGCTCTTGGGGCTTGCTTAAGCCCATATAGCACCTTGGGCAACCTATAGACATGATTAGGATATCTAGGGTCTTCAAACCCAGGAGGTTGATCAACATAGACTAGTTCATTTATGAAACCATTTAAAAATATACTTTTAACATCCATTTGGTATAATTTCATTTCATGATGGGATGCATATGCAAGAAGGATACGAATGGCTTTAAGTCTTGCAACCGGTGCAAAGGTCTCTCCAAAATCCAACCCTTCAACTTGGGAGAACCCCTTCGTAACTAGCCTTGCCTTGTTCCTCACAACGATGCCTTGATCATCTTATTTGTTGTGGAACACCCACTTTGTTCCATTGACTCTTGCATCTTGTGGTCACTCTTCAAGTGTCCAAACTTTATTTCGGGTGAAGTTGTTCAACTCTTCATGCATGGCATTTATCCAATCTAGATCTTGAAGAACTTCTTCTATATTTTTAGGCTCAATGCAAGAAACAAACGAGTGATGTTCAATAAATGAAGCAAGTTTTTGAGAGCGAGTCATTACACCCTTTGAAGGACTCCCTATGATGAGATCTTGTGGATGTGCTTATAGTAGGGGTGAATTTCTTCTATCAACCACTTGAGGGGGAGGTTGTGGAGCATCAACATCTTGAGCTTGTGCCACCATTTGATCATGAGAGACATGAGTATCTTTATTTTCTACTCTCTCATCTTTATCATCATCTTGTGGCACATTTGATGAAGAGGGTGGATCAATCACTTGTACATCATCTTCATCATCTTTGGGCTTGATGTCTCCAACCGAAATGTTCTTCATAGCCTCCCTCAATGGTTCATCACCTACATCCTCAAGATTCTCATGTGCTCCCTGAGAGCCGTTAGATTCATCAAATTCCACATCATATGTTTCTTCAACCAAGCTAGTGATATGATTAAATACTCAATATGCTTTGGACTTTGATGAGTAACCAAAAAGAAAACCAATATCACAACGTCTTTGGAACTCCCCTAGGTGTTGTCGCTTTTTGTAGATGTAGCATTTGCAACCAAACACCTAGAAGAATGATACGTCCGGTTTCTTCCCATTGAGTAACTCATAAGGGGTCTTGCCAAGAAACCTTTGAAGAAATAGGCGATTTGATGCATAACATGCGGTGTTGATAGCTTCCGCCCATAGATCTTCGGGTGTATTGTACTCATCAAGCATTGTTCTTGCAAGGGTGATAAGTGCCCGGTTCTTTCTCTCTACTACACCATTTTGTTGAGGAGTGTATGTTGCGGAGACCTCATGCTTGATCCCTACTTCATCACAATATGCTTTAATGTTTGTGTTGTCAACTTCTTTTCCATTGTCACTTCTTATCTTCTTGAGCTTCACTTCAAATTAATTTTGTGCTCTCTTGGCAAACTTCCTGTAACAGGCGGCCACTTCGGTCTTGTCATAAAGGAAGAACACTCAAGTATATTTAGAGTAGGGAAAAGTCCATTTTTGACCATCAAACATTTGGCGAAGTCTGAGAACGACCATCGAACTCTAAAACCAGTAATCTTTGACCATTTATTTTCTGAAACCGGACACAAAGGGCCATCGACTGTAGTCCACCTGGTTTTGACGCCACGCCGGTTTTGACGCCACCTACACATGACATTCATAGTTCACATGCTGTCAGGTAAAATTAAGCCATCAGTCAGGCATTACACATCACAATTCCTAGTTTAGATGGTAGCAACATGAACTTAAGCCAACAGTCTGGCATTACACCTCACAATCCATAGTTCAGATGGTAGCAAAATAAACTTAAGCCAGCATTCTGGCATTACACATGGGCATCACAGATACTTCAGATGGCATCACCAGGTGCTGGCAGAAAGAACATAGGGCCTTTGGCTGGTCTTCTAACCGGGAGCTTCTTTGGAGGGGATGGTCCTTGAGCATTCAAACGAACTTCAGCTTTCCCTGAGTTTATAGTGATAGACACACTTGAGCCAGCTTTGGTAAATGGCACATTGGAGTGCAGGTGCATAGTTGCTGAACCAGAAGGAGTTGTATCAACTTTGGCACTTGCAGATGTCTTGGCCAATGTATTTGAACCTCCAGCCTTGCAAAAGAAAAAATAAATCATTGAACACACATATTTTGTGAGGATCATAAATTGGCAATAATGTTACACTGGTTTTGGAACCATACCTTGGTTGTCCTTGTCCTTTTGTTCTGTGTACATGGAGTTGTATTTGCTTTCCTCTTCATGGATGCAGCAGTGCTATGGTGAGGTGCACTTGATGAAGTTCCACCTTGTTCTCTTGAAACCTGAGAAGCATTATGGGACTGGCCATTCCTTTTGTCACATGTGGACCTGTTGTGACCAATTTGCATGCATTTCGTACACCTGATAATTGTGCCCACCTTTGAGGCCTTTTCAGACTTTGGTTTCTCATGTGCTTCTCTCTTTCTTTCCTTCTTTGGCCTACCTGGCATCTTTACATATCCAGGAGCCTTCAGTGGTGTTTTCTCTGAAACAGGCCATGCATTCATTCCTTCCACCGGCAATAGACAATGGTCATATGTGTTTTTGAACTGTTCCACTGAGTAGCAGCTAGCAATGAATGGTGACAGATCATTTGTCTTGAAGAAAATGCAAGATATGGCATGAGGACATGGCATTCCAGATAGTTGCCAATATCTACAGGAACACTCATTTTTGTTCAGGTCCACAGTGAACCTGTTAATCCAGTGAACCACTTCAAATTGGTCTTGTCCATTACATATTGCATGGCAAACTCCAGATAAATTAATATATGCATTCAATTTTTTCAAGATATTTGGGCATATGACTGTGTTCCACCCATCTGATTTGGTCCTGTTGTGCTGAATCCTAACCATGACTTTTCTCCTAATTGTCTCAAGCATGGTAATAATTGGAAAGTATCTAGCCTCTACAATCCATTTGTTAAAAGATTCACACATATTGTTGTCAACTGAATCACAAAAAGAACCTAACCTGAACCAGGCACGGCTCCAGTGATGTGGATCAGTGTTCATTATAGCCTGAGCTCCAGCTTGTGTATCCTTTGCAAGTCTTGCCTTGGCTAGGTTGAACAATGTGACACAAGGGGCCTTTGCACAAGCCCAAAATTTCTTCTGCCACTCCTTCTTTTTGAACTTTTTCCTCCAATTGGCATATATATGCCTAGCACAATTCCTATGCTCAGCATCTGGAGCCCATTTCTGCACTGCATTCAAAATTCCCTTTTGCTGATCTGATATGAAAACCCATCCAGTGCCACCATACACCTCTATATCTCTAAACAAAAGATCACAAAACCAATCCCAACTATCATTATTTTCTTTCTCCACCACAGCCCATGCAATAGGATACATTTGGCTGTTTGCATCTCTGCCAATTGCACATAGCAGCTCACCATTTGTAGCTCCCTTGAAGAAGCACCCATCTAGCCCAACAACTTTTCTACATCCTGCCTTAAACCCTTTCTTCAAAGCATCAAGGCATATGTACATCCTCTGAAAAATGTCTGTATCACCTTGTCTTCTCACAATAACTGTGCTTCCAGGATTACTTCTCAATAACTCTAGCTGGTAATTGTACAAGAGTAGATACTGACCCTTAGTAGCATCTAATGCCTTCTGCATTACCATGGACTTGGCCCTCTTAAGCTTGCTAAAACTCACATCAGCAAACATGTCCTCTTGCACAGTTGTTTTCATTGAGTCAAGACCCCAAGCAGGGTTGGCAATGATCATCTTCTCATACTTGGCAGCAATTCTACCAGCAGTGACCAACCTATTGTCCCTTCTGGGTGGACATGTATGCTCAGCATTGTAGCTAGCAATCTGCCAACTACTACTCCTAGAATTGACAGAAGCCATGCACCTCCATTTACATGTGGACCAGTCACATACTGCAATCATTCTTGATGCCTCGTTCTTGTAGAATTTGATAAGCTTCCTCTCAACTAGACCATGTTTGATACATGCCTTCTTGAATTGTTTCTTTCCACTAAACTTCATTCCAATCTCAAACTTAGGAATTGGTTCCTTCTTATTAAATCTTGGACACTTACTAGTACACTTCTGAATATCCCCATCACTCATCTCTTCTACTGAATCCTCATCATCACTGCTGCCATCATATGGGGTCAAATTTCCTTCATCCTCTATCTCATACAAATTTGGCACCTCTTTGGGACTGTCCAATATGACTTCATCTAAGTTGGCTACCTGTCCAGCCTTTAACCTCCTTTTAAACACCCTGAACTTGGTCAGAATTTCTACAACTTCATCATCATCCTCAGAAGAACACTCATCACCAGGTAAGTAGTCACTGTCACTGCTATCCCCAGACTTTGGATCATGGACAACTACTTGCTTGCCTTTGTCTTTCCTTGAATTTTTCCATCCCTCATCAAGTTGTATTGGTTGTTGGATCCCAGCTCTATTACCACTTGGAACAATGGCTGCACCTAAAAATTCATTGGCTGCATGCACAGGCTGAGTATCCTCTTCTATCTCAGGTCCTTCATCATCCAATTCCTCTTGCACTTCCTGCTCATTCAGTGAGTCATCTTCATCACTTGTTCCTTCCTCCTCTTCATATTCACTGCCTTCGTCACATTCACTTTCTTCCGAAGCAATAAGTTCTTCAACATAGATTTCAGCTACCTCTCCATCCCCAATGGTACCTGCTACCTCTAAGCAGCCTTTGTCATCTAGAAGCAGCCTCAGACCATTGTTGAGCTCTTTCCCAGGAAGAAGCCAATGCAAAAGAGCCCTTTCACTTACATTGCAGTGGTCCTTTAGGTGGCCAATAATCTCAGGCAGGGACACTTTATCCCTATCTATGAAGGAAACCTCCATCCGAGCACCGATGTACTGCACTTGTCTTCCTGTTCTTATGAATTCTCCATTAAAATGGAACCGGACTGGAAGATACTCAAATGGATTCATCCCCAGGACACTTTATCACTTGCCTGTATGACAAACAAGTTTGTGGCTGCATTAAACAATGGATTTAGCACTCCTACCCCCCAACCCGATATACAAGCAAAACAACAAACAAAGCGACATAATCTTTACCAATCTGAAAAGCTAATGGAAAGTACTACAAGCTTCTCATATTTGGAAAGTCTAATAAGACATTTAAGGGTTTCGAAAGGCCCCTACATCCAGTTCTGTCCAGAACTTCGTCACAGCATGAAACCTAATTTCGAAAATACATATCTCTGAAACTGCTTGAGATAAAATCATGAAATTTCACGAGCTAATAGATCTGAAGGTCCTCTACAACTTTGTAGTTCACCAAAACACTTATTTCGGTCTCTAAGTAGCCCTAATCGTTTCCCCAAGAAAATCTGCAGAAACTGTTCATTTGAAATCCGAGGAACAACATTCAAGCAACTTTTCTCCCCCACTAGTCCACCTATTCCCATGGCTAAAATCCACCCTAAACACCAAACTTGTGTAGAGAAGGGGGAAATCCAACTCACCTTGGTCAGCCACAAACCCTAGGGCGACGGGAAGGGATGGGGAAGGACCGATCCACATGCAAGATGCACCTCTTCTTGCTCCTGTTGTTGTCCTCGATCCGATTTGCAAGTTTCCCCCAAGGATTTGGTGCTGTAGAGGGGATTTAGGGAGTGGCAGCCATGGGAGAGCAAGGGGAGGAGAGAGTAACGTGAGAAGAGGAGAGGGCTGGTTTGGAGGAGAAGAATGAGAGAAGGGGAGGAGTTCTGTCAAAACCAGGAATGTGTAGGTGGACTGCGGTCCATGGCCTTTTGTGTCCGGTTTCAGAAAATAAATGGTGAAACATTTCTGGTTTTCGAGTTCGATGGTCATTCCCGGACTTCGCCAAAAGTTCGATGGCCAAAAATAGACTTTTCTCTTTAGAGTAGTCATCAACTATCACAAGACAATAGAGATTGCCTCCCAAACTCTTGTAAGTTGTTGGTCCAAATAGATCCATGTGAAGAAGCTCTAGCACTCTTGTTGTTGACATGTAAGCTTTTGTTGGATGAGTCTTTGCAACTTGCTTGCCGGCTTGACATGCACTACAAAGCTTATCCTTCTCAAATTTCACATCCTTCAAACATCTCACCAATTCATTCTTCATTAGCTTCTTGAGAGAGCTCATCCCAACATGTGCAAGTTTTCTATGTCATAGCCACCCAAGTGATGTTTTGGTGAATAAGCATGTCTTTAAGTCGGTATATTCAGAGGTAAAATCCACTAGATATAGGTTGTTGTATCTAAAACCCTTGAATATAACTTGATCATCATCTTTCTTTAACACAACTACTTCCTTCTTGGTAAACAAACATTGAAAGTCAAGATCACACAATTGACCAACGGATAGCAAGTTGAAACTCATTGAAGCAATATATAGCACATTTGATATTGAATGATCATTTCATATTGCAACTTTGCCCAATCCTTGAACTTTGCCCTTTGAATTATCACCAAACATAATCCTTTTTTGATCATCTACTTCTTCATCTAGTGAGGTGAACATACAAGGATCACCGGTTATATGTTGAGTGCAACCACTATCAATAACCCAATAACTTTCACCGGTCTTGTAGTTCATCTACACACAAGAGATCAAGCTTGTTGTTTAGGGACCCAAACTTGATGGGGGGCCTTGACTTTCTCAACTAGTGACTTTGCAATCCAAATTTGCTTAGGTCTATTCTTGTTGGATGGACCTAAGAACATGACTTTCATCTTTCCACTAGAATCCTTTCTAAGCATATAGTGAGCATTGAAGGCAAAGGGTCTAGCATGCTTGGGCAAGGGTTGTGGTGGTGGAGTTTGACACTCATGAGCAAAGTGACCTTCTTGTCCACACTCAAAGCATCTCTTTGCCTTAGGCTTTGACTTGTATTGTTGTTGATGTTGAGCTTGAGCTTTCTTTTCTTGATTTGCCAAGTACCCAATACCACTTCTATCTATCTTCATCACGGTGTTCATGAGTAGCTTACTTTGGAGATATTAGCCTCTTGTGAACTTGCTCAAACCGGTTTTAAGATGCTCTTTCTCCAACTCGAGCTTCTTGTTTTCTTCTCCAAGTTCATCATGATTTTTCTCCATCTTGAGTCTCTTGTTCTCTTCTTTAAGCATCTCATTCTTAAGAGCCATATCATAATCTTTGTCAAGATTCTCTATCACAATTGTGTTGGTGGTTGATAGCTTTTTAAGATCTTTCTTGAGCTTTTCATTCTCATTCTTGAGCTTGACATAATCATCATAGTTGTTGGACTCAACCACTTTCTTGCCTTTGCTACTAGAACCTTGCTCAATGCTCTCAACAATCAAGTCATCACATGATGTAGCTATATCAATATTGTTAGTAGCATCATGTGGCTCATTGGATAATAACTCATGAGAAAGAACAAGATTGTTATGATTAATCTTGAGATTGGTGTACTCTTCTTTTAGCAAATTGTAACTAGTGGTTAGCTCATTATGTATCCCCTCAAGTTTATTATGTTTTTCTCTAAGCTCCTTTTTAGAGGTTTTGAGCTCCTTGAGTTTGGATGACACAATTTTATTTTCTTCTCTAAGCTCAACACTAGCTTTTTCGACTATGTCATATTTTGCTAAGAGTGAGTCCTCAAGTTCTAGCTTTTCATTTTTAGCTCTTGTCTTTCTAATGATTTTAGTGTATTGGTTTAGCAACTTGACAAGATCATCATAAGAAGGTGATTCAAATTCTTCATCACTATCACTACCACTTTCATCATTGCTAGCATTATTATCACCACTACTATCATCATCATTTTGTACCTTTCGTTCACCCTTGACCATAAGGCATAGATGTGTAGAGGATGATGGTGGCGGTGTCGGTGAAAATAGTGAAGAATCAATCACAAGAGCGGCCACCTTCTCCTTCTCATTCTCACTTTCATCATTGGATGAGCCACTTGATGATTCAATGTCCGTGAGCCAATCATCAACAATGTATGCCTTGCCATTCTTCTTCTTATAAAATTCCTTCTTCTTGCCATCCTTCTTGTATGGCTTGTTCTTCTTCTCATCATCATCTCCATCACTTGAGTCATCTTTCTTGCCCTTGTACTTCTTCTTGTACTTGTCTTTCTTGGGTTTGGGGCATTGATGAGCTAGATGACCAAGTTCTCCATAATTATAGCAATCCATTTCGGAGATGGGCTTTCTTCTACTACTTGTGAAGAATTTCTTCTTCTTGCCATCAAACTTGACACCATTCTTGTTTAGCTTCTTGAGCATCTTGGTGATTCTTTTCACCATGAGAGCAAGACTTGCATCATCAATCTCATCGTCACTTGAGCTATCATGATCAACTCTTGCTTTGCCCCTCTTCTCTTGGCTAGCCTTAAATGCCAAATCTTTCTTCTTGGTGGAAGAAGAGCCATCTTGTGGAGTGATGTGCATGTACATCTCATATGCATTGATCTTCCCCAATATTTGAGTTGGTGTAGCGGTGGAAAGATCACCTTGATGAAGCACCATCACAATATGCCCATACTTGTCAATGGGGAGGACACTCAAGATCTTTCTCACAACATCGAATGGTTGCATTTGTGTGAGTCTAAGCCCATTGACTTCCTCTACAAGAATATTCAAGCGTGAATACATCTCATTGGCACTTTTTTTAGAAAGCATCTCAAATGAATTAAACTTTTTCATCACAAGGTGATAGTGTTCCTCGCACTCACTCTTGGTTCCCTCATGGAGCGCACAAATATCCGACCATAGTGCATGGGCGTCTTTGTGGTTCCACACACAGTTAAAGACATCCTTGCAAAGGCCTCTAAAGAGAGTGTTTCTAGCCTTTGCATTCCACTTCTCGTAGTTAACCTCATCGCCTTGAAGTTTGGTGGGATCCTTAGGTTTTGGGAAGCCTTGTGAGGCGGCTCTAAGAACTCCAACATCTAAAGCCTCTAGGTTTGTCTCCATGCGAAATTCCCAATAAGGAAAATCATCTATCTCAAAGATAGGAGGGGGTCCATCCCCGTGGGACATCTTGCTCTAGGTGGTTAAGCCTAATTTAGGGAGCACGAGGCTCCGATACCAATTGAAAGGATCAAGATGCTCAAGAGGGGGAGAATATTTAATTTTGGAAGAGGCGGATGGATGCTGAGAAATTAAGTAGCTGGCTGAGATGGTTGGAGTTGGGGGACATTGAATTAAGTTGATTATTATGATAGCATGCATGCCTGACCTAACTAATAAGGGGATGAATCCATGGTCCTCCTAACTCTCATGCATGTCTATTTGGGTATATGGTAGAGTCTAGGTAAAAGAGAGACACTTCGAATATCAACACGTACGGTCTCCATAACACAAAATTCAACACTACAATTTCTCCTATATACTTCCTTCGTCTCAAAAAGAATGTAATTCTCATTTTCAAGAAGTTAAACAATTTTAAGTTTGACCAATCTATATATAAAAAGCACTAATTTCTATGGTACTGTATAAGTACCATCGGAGTGGAATATGTATGTTCATAATAAACTTATTTAGAGACCTAAATATTGATACTATTTTCTACAAATTTGGTCAGACTTAACAAAGTTTGGCTAGCTCAAAACCTAGAATTACATTCTTCTTTAGGACGGAGGGAGTAGTGTGTGTGTGTGTATATATATATCCTATATTCCTATATTCCTATCCCTTGAACCACAAAAAACTTATATGGTTATGAAAGTACCTTTAGTTAGACATATAAAACTTCTGAATTTAATTTGTTGAATCTCATTATACCCTTATGAAAGGATCAAGATGTCCAAGAGGGGGAGAATATTTAATTTTAAAAGAGGCGGATGGATGTTGAGAAATTAAGTAGCTGCCTGAGATGGTTGGAGTTGGGGGACATTGAATTAAGTTGATTATTATGATAGCATGCATGCCTGACCTAACTAATAAGGGGATGGATCCATGGTCCTCCTAACTCTCATGCATGTCTA